TAATTTTGAGTGGCAACTTCGTAGTTATAGATTTTGTGATTACGAGCTTCGTAGCTTAGCCGCAATTCCACTCGAGGCATACAACTTCGTAGTTGTGTTAGATCGACTTTGTAGTCGTAGGCTTCGTAGCCCTTGGCCGAGATTCCACTCGAGGCATACAACTTCGTAGTTGTGTTGGATCAACTTCGTAGTCGTAGGCTTCGTAGCCTTTTGCCGAGATTCCACTCGAGGCATACAACTTCGTAGTTGTGTTGGATCGACTTCGTAGTCGTAGGCTTCGTAGCCTTTTGCCGAGATTCCACTCGAGGCATATAACTTCGTAGTTGTGTTAGATCGACTTCTTAGTCGTAGGCTTCGTAGCCTTTTGCCGAGATTCCACTCGAGGCATACAACTTCATAGTTGTGTTAGATCGACTTCGTAGTCGTAGGCTTCGTAGCCTTTTGCCGAGATTCCACTCGAGGCATACAACTTCGTAGTTGTGTCAGATAGACTTCGTAGTCGTAGGCTTCATAGCCTTTTGTCGAGATTCCACTCGAGGCATACAACTTCGTAGTTGTGTCAGATCGACTTCGTAGTCGTAGGCGTCAATCGGCTTTATAGCCGTTTTGAAAAATTTGGTTTTTCGAGTAATCATAATAAAATCGACATGGAAATGTAAAAGACAACTTAAACATAAACTTGGGAGTCATTGCATTACTGAATTTGATTAAGTATTGTTCAGTACAAAAGAGTTCAATATACTATCTTAGGCATAAAAGCGTTTGAGATGGATCACGTGCCAAGATCGTGGCAACTGTCGTGCTTCGCCATCCTCGAGTTCATATGCACCTCTTTCGAGCACTTTGGTGATGGTGTAAGGTCCTTCCCAGTTAGCTTCAAGCTTCCCGACATGCTTAAGAGCATCTGCTCGTTTGAGGACGAGATCTCCAACTTGAAATCGTGTGGTGCGGACTTTTCTATCGAAGGCTGCACGCATCTTCTGCTTGTATTCCATGGATTGCACCCAGGCCTCCTCTCGTCCTTCTTCTATCATATCTAGGGCCTCTTTGATCATCTCCTCATTCTTCTTTTCCTCGTAAAATGTCGATCTGTGAGAATCTAAGCCGACTTCGATAGGCAAGAGTGCATCCATTCCGTAAACCATGTGAAATGGCGACTAGCCTTTTGAGCTTCTTGTGGTCGTCCTATAAGCCCATAGAACCGTTGTCAGCTCATCGACCCAAGCACCTGATGCTTTCTCCAATCTCTTCTTCAATCCTCGGAGAATGGTTCGATTAGTCACTTCGACTTGCCCATTAGCCTGGGGGTGTGCGACCGAGGCAAACCTTTGCTTTATTCCCATGTCAAGGCACCATGCTTGAATTCGTTTTCCCTGGAACTGAGTCCCATTGTCAGACATTAGCACTTTAGGAACTCTGAATCGACAACAGATATTGTTAAACAGGAATTGAATCATCTTTTCCTCCGTAATTTTTGCCAACGGCTCCGCTTCGACCCACTTGGTAAAATAGTCGACAGCGATCACTAAGAACTTCCTCTGCCCTGTTCCCATCAGCAGTGGTCCTACCTAGTCGATTCCCTCGTTTGAGGACGAGATCTCCAACTTGAAATCGTCTGGTGCGGACTTTTCTGTCGAAGGCTGCACGCATCTTCTGCTTGTATTCCATGGATCGCACTCAGGCCTCCTCTCGTCCTTCTTCTATCATATCGAGGGCCTCTTCGATCATCTCCTCGTTCTTCTTTTCCTCGTAAATTTTCGATCTGTGAGAATCTAAGCCAACTTCGATAGGCAAGAGTGCATCCATTCCGTAAACCATGTGAAATGGAGACTAGTCTGTTGAGCTTCTTGGGGTCGTCCTATAAGCCCATAGAACCGTTGTCAGCTCATCGACCCAAGCACCTGATGCTCTCTCCAATCTCTTCTTCAATCCTTGGAGAATGGTTCGATTAGTCACTTCGACTTGCCCATTAGCCTGGGGGTGTGCGACCGAGGCAAACCTTTGCTTTATTCCCATGTCAAGGCACCATGCTTGAATTCGTTTTCCCTGGAACTGAGTCCCATTGTCAGACATTAGCACTTTAGGAACTCTGAATCGACAACAGATATTGTTAAACAGGAATTGAATCATCTTTTCCTCCATAATTTTTGCCAACGGCTCCGCTTCGACCCACTTGGTAAAATAGTCGACGGCGACTACTAAGAACTTCCTCTGCCCTGTTCCCATCGGCAGTGGTCCTACCAAGTCGATTCCCTATTGCGCGAAGGGGATCGGGGTGTTTATGGTCGTCATGTATTCGGCGGGGATATGAGTGATTTGCCCGTGGCGCTGACATTTTTCGCACTTCCGGACTAGCTGTTCCGTCATTGCCCGCATCTTGGGCCAATAGTATCCTGCTCGTAGGGCTTTACCCGCCAAGGCTCGCGATCCTACATGTGCTCCGCAACATCCTTCATGTATTTCTTTCAATACA